CTGAAGGGCCCCCTCGGTGCACACACACACACACACACACACACACTCACAGGCACGCACACACCCAGGGGTGATCACGCCACCCCGTCCATCCTCTCTGCGCCCACCTCTTCCTGTGTGTGTGTGTGTGTGTGTGTGTGTGTGTGGTCACACAGACAAGACAGTCGATCTAATTCAGATCACCCAATCCACTTTTCTACTTTTTCTTAAAAAAGGGAGCCCTGCTGGCTGTGGCTAAGCTAAGGTCTGTTAAAACCCATGTCTGAAACACTGGAAGGATGTTAGATAAATGGACATTTTATGTCATAAGTTTTCCAGATTTGCTGTCCACTGATTTCAGATGTGAGACAAAAAATGAATAAATAAAAAAACCCTCATCCTTACTTACTGTTAGCAATAGCATCAGAATAAACAAAGGCATCAGAATAAACTAGGAAAAGGTTCCTAGCACTCCTACATAAAGTATTTGGGGTTAAGCTTAAATTGGGTTTAACAAAATGGAATTAAAACTAAGTGCTTAACGAATTAAACTGGATTTCACATCTTAAGTATTAAGTGATAGAAAGTGATACAGGTGAGGACCATCACTAATGGAAGAGGAAAAGGAAAGCCATTTTGAAGACGTTTTACCTCTAATCTGAAATGCCTCTTTACTCTCAACTACCTGTTCCAATCAAAATAGGAAATCACGATTGAAACTTTCTAAATTAATGAATCCACTAAAAACTGAAGTTCTGACTAAAGCTAAGCCTCAGAGTTCATTACATCACTTGGTCCTGAACTAGAGCCTCTGCTCATGTTGCTTCTATTGTATTATGTTTGCTCCTCTGTTATTGTCAGTGACAACACACACGCGGGGCACTGTGTGTGTTAGTGTGTGTGTAGATGTGTGTTCCAGCCAGAGAACAAACCCATTTCTCCACAGGTGACGGCTCTTTACGACTCACTTTTATTAGCCGCCCGTTTTCCTTTCAACCACCAGGCCTTTTTTTTTTTTCTTTCTCCTTTTTCTTTTTTTCTGGCAAAGTCACCACACAGACGTCTTTCTTTTCACCGATTTCCTTTGATTTAATTACTGCCACATGCTGCCGACTGCCAGCCATCGTTAGCGAGAGAAGGACCCGGACCAACGCAGAGTCCTGACAGGCTGAGCGGGAAAGGCGGGGAAGACCCTCCCGAGTGGAAAACCCACTTCAGCCGGCTGCTTCAGGCCCAAACATCTCAGCTCTACCTACATCTGAGGACCTTCACGACAAAAAGCCAATCTTATGCCGCCTTTCACCTAGTTTACAGGTGCAGTGGAAGCAAATATGATGGGTAAGAACGGAAGGAGGAGAGAAAGACGGAGAGGAGGAGAAGCACTTCTTCTATGCATGAGGTAACAGGAAGTTAGACTAAAGGATGAGAGATGAAAAGATATTGGGATTGAGCCATTTGGCTGTCTGACAGCTCATTAAGCTGTTTTATAAATAATCAATTGATGAAGTAATTAACAGCAATCTCTATGTTTTTCACACACACACACACACAACCCACCGAGCACAGAAGTGTGTGTGATGTGTGCATCCACTAGCCAGCTGACACTGGGTATTCCAGCCCAGCTTCTGGTTGGATTCCGGACCGTGGCAGTAGCCGACGGGTAAAAAAGGACTTAACCTTAGCCTCCCTCAGAACCTGCAGCAGCTCTGAGTAATGCGGCCAAAACACCAGCCATCTTCTGCTGCCGTTACCTTTAAAACCCACCAATCCAGCTAAAGATGCAAAACACCAACTGTGACAGACCACAAAGTAACGACTTTCTGCATCTTATCAGCAAATGTCCCCACTCTCTAATCTGCCACAGCAGTTTGGCCGATCTAATATCCACCTGAATACTCTCATCTATCCCTGATGTGTTCATTCATAACAAAACAATCATGTATGGAATATGATTGCCTTGTTTTATTTAAATGCGTATAAGGAAATGTCCTGTTCAAATGTTGCTCTTTCTTCACGATTCTAAAAAATAAATGCTAAAAAAAGGAAAGAAAAGTTTATGAAACTACTGTAACTGAGGGATCGATGACTAAAAAGAAACCCTGCCTCTTATCACTTGGCAAAAAGAGAGGTGGAAGAAGAAATGAAGGAGAAAGCGGAGCATTTTCATTGGTTCCTTGACAGATAAACTCACATTCTCTCAGCTGGCATGGTGGCACCCGGCCCGACAGCCAATCAAAACCCCCATTGGAGGGCAGGTGGCCAATGAGACCTCTGCTCTCCCAACAGCCGAGCTGTCAGGGTGAGAACGAGCGTGTAGGACGTGCACACGCGTTTCATCCCATGCTGTCGCTGTTTCTTTGCCTGTATCTCAGCTCATAAAACAGCTCCACATTCAACCAATGACCAGGATTCTTTATCTTTTCAGAACTTTTGTGTGGCTCTTTTCCTTTTGGGTTTAGACTCTGACATCTTTCTGCACCTTAGCCTCTCCCCCAAGTAAATCTCCATAAATAAATAATCGCCGTTTAAATAAATGAAACCAATTACACACACGGAGGGCCGTGAGCC